TTGTCCTTTTCCTTCTTCTTCTCGTACATTTGTTGCGAGGCATCATTTTCTACGTCACAACAGCACAGTTGTGATCCATTAGGCTTGATAATATTATGACAATTAATCTTGGTAAGATCCTCAGATGAATTAATTTTGAAAATCTCAATTTTTAGTATGCGATGCGGCCTCACCATAGAGGTTGAAATAAATGTTGAATGTGAAAATAAGAAGTCTTATCCATAACGACATGTCTTCTCAAGTCAATCGGTCATATTGTTACTCTGTTCCTTTTTTTTTTTTTAGCACTTAGACCATTAATATTTTAGGTATCGTGATTTGGATTGTCTTTTTGTCTTTCTGCCTTCCAGACAAAGTTTATGAAAACGACCACAGTGTTATATAGCCTGAAAGTAGAATGTGGAGCCTAAATACCAGAAGCATCCTCCGTCAGCTTAGGCATTTGTATCAAAAATTAACTATGATGGATAAATAATTCCACGCTGGGAACTGGGTAGTTTATACATAGTCATATTGGTTTTATAAAACATAATGTATAGAGTTTATATGTTCAATTCTATAATCACAAGCCGACATATGTGTAAGAGTATTAATACTGTAGTTAGGAGAAAGGTTTTTAAAGAGACCTTTCTGTTAGCCAGCATAGGTCTAACAGATGGTTTGCATATGTTGTTTTGATTTTATTGGTCAATATAAAGTTAGGGCGCTCCTCTACAAAACCTTAATGTGCTTGCCCATGGAATAGATGTACTGTCTTCTTCTTGGGTTAAAACCGTTGGTTTTTCTTTTCCTTTTTTCTGTTTTTCTGGACAACAGAGTCCCGCTCTTCGCCCCAGGCTGGAGTACAACTGAGTGTGATCTCGGCCTCACTGCCAACTCCGCCTCTGGGTGTCAAGGCGATTCTCCCTCTGCCTCAGCTCCCGCGTAGCTTGGGAGTTACGGGCACCCACCCATGCCCGGTTAAATTTTTGTATTTCGTGTAGAGACGGTCCCGGTTTCACAGTGTTTGGCCAGGCTCGTCTAAACACTCCTGAACTCTTAGGTGATCGCCCTGCCTCGTGTCTCCTAAAATGCTTGGATTACAGATGTGGAGCCACTGGTGCTCCGGCCAGGAAAGTTTTCTTAGGGTTCAATCTGCGCTTAGTAGTTCCTACTTTCGGTTCCGATCTGTTATTTTGGTAAAATAGACTGACCATTATTGGGCGGGGCCATGGTGCTCACCTCCCCTGTAGCAAGATTGTGCCACTGCAGCCAGCCGCTGGGCGAAAGAGTTGAACCGCGTCCAACAATAAGATGATCATTATTCTCTTTGAATGTTATGTTTCTGAGGTTAAGGTACACTTGGTGGGATTAACAAGTGTGTATTGACTATCATGAAAGGATGGAAGTATACTCATAAAGTGTGTTGAGCACTATGAATATTCTGTGTTTGATATACAATCATGGCTGCAGTGCAAGCGTTGTGGTTCACTCTGTCCGCGAGGCTGTATGCAGTGGTACTCCCTGCCTCTTCCCCCGGTCTAAGTGATCTCCCACTTCAGATCCCTAAGTACGTGAGACGCAAGCGCATGCCACCAAGCCCAGTAATTGTATTTCTTTTTGGGTAGAGATGGTCTTTGTTCATGTTGGCCAGGCTGGGGACTCAAAACTCTACCTCCACAGTGATCCCGCCCCCTTCCCACCTTGGCCTCCCAAAGTGCTGGGATTACAGGCGTGAGCCACTGTGTCCAGCCTATTGTCTCTTTAAACAAAATGACATGCCTTGCTTGACCCACACAAGTTAGTTAGTAGAAACAGCTGAATTTCCAATATGAGTAGATTGTTAAGTTCATGATAAGTCTTTGAAGCCTAGGCTCTCTTGGTGCCATGTTGAGAGCACACCACATACAAAATACATTTTAGGAAGCAAAATAACATATCATCATCATAAAATTAGTATCATCCATCTTAGGAAATAGGATCTCAGTATCCTTGATTTCTCATCCCATCCCTGTGTTTCCTCTCTCTACCAGTGTATTTTGTACTACAAATGTATCACATATGTACACAAATTCATCCTCCTTTCTTCTCTCCTTCTCTCTTTCCTTCTCATCTATTTACCATCTGTTAAAAATTACGAGTTTATACTAACAACTCCCACTAATTTTATTCTAAGACTATAGAGTTTGTTCTGTGATTCTTCCTTTCCATTTGAGAAACCTGGCTCCCATGCTCCCCAATGCATTTACTTATTTACTCAATTTCCCCTTCATATAACTGTACTTCTGGCAACAAGTTGAATCTTGGATTCACAGCCAGCTCCCTGCCCCTCATCCCCAACCTAATATGCAGGTCTGAGGCAGGGCCCCAGATTGGCTGGTGCGTCCAGCAGGGAGGCACCAGGCCAAATAAAGCATGACCCTGAGAAAGGAAGAAGGTGGGAAAAGGTCATTGGAAACCTTAGCCCTGCACCTGCTGGGCCATTAACACCCCCCATACCCCTCCCACTGCCCACCCCTGTGCCAACTCAGAGCTGGGACCTAACAGTCTCTCTAGCCCTCACAGTCCTCAGTTGGTCAGTCTTTGTGATTTACTGGGAGCATTTAGTCCATTTACATTTAATATACATAATTACTGACATGTTCAGGTTTAAATAGATCATCTTAGTTGATGGTTTCTATTTTTCTGCATGTTTCTTGCCTACTTTTGGAATGGTTGTTCTCAACTTCTTTCATTCTGTTTGTGTTCTTTCAGTGGTTATTCTAGAAATTATGTATACTTACCTATTTTTAAGAAATTTGTTAGGAGCAGGATTATAAAGCATATGAGTACACAGAAAGGATATTATTTAGGGAATGTCCTGTGTGACGCACAGCATTGCCTTTATGAAGAAGATCTTTGTTAGATTTTGCTACTAGATGTATCTGTTTTTCTCCACTACTGGTTTGTTTTTACATTATAGTTGCTGTAAATTAAGTAACCAATGGTGTGTTCTACATTGTCATGGAAGCTAGGAAATTTAGATTAAATTTCAGACCTACCTCTAATAAGCTTATCTGATCTCTTGGGCTTTTGGTCCATTAGCTGATATTTTGCATCCCTTTCTACCTCCCTTCTCCCAACCCATTTATCATTAAGCCTTGTCAGTTTTATGTTCCAACTGTAACTCGATTTAGGTCTTGTTTTTCTGTTTACATTGCCACCAAGTGAATATTGGCCATCATTTATTTCCTGGACTCTTGCAACAACATCTCTGATTCTGCTTTTTAAAATCCCTTCCAATCTTTCCAAAGTTAGCAGCCAGAGGGATCCTCCTAAGAGACAAATTGTGTCATGTCATTTCTGCACTTCAAATTCCTTTAGGGGCATCAGTCTCAGCATGCTTGCTTCTTGCCATGGCTCACTGGGTGGGAATGCTCAAGGTGCACACTGGCTTGCATGCCTTTCGTTTGGTCTCAAGACCTTTGCACTTCTGCTCTTCCTCCTTCCTCCACAGTCTGGCTAACTCCTATGGGTCCTTCATTTCTCACTGTAAATTCCCCTTTCTTTTTTGTTGAGACAGAGTCTTGCTCTGTCACTCAGGTTGGAGTGCAGTGGCACTGTCTTGCTCACTGCAGCCTCCATCTCCTGGGTTTAAGTGATTCTCCTGCCTTAGCCTCCGAAGTAGCTGGGACTACAAGTGTGTGCCACAACACCTGGCTAATACAGATGGGGGTTTGCCATGTTGGCTAGGCTGTTCTCGGACTCCTGACCCGCGTTGGCCTCCGAAAGTGCTGGGATTACAGGCGTGAGCCACCGCACCCAGCCTAAATTCCACTTTTTAACAGAACTCTTTATT